CAGGGTAATGCCGCCGAGAGGGTGAACCGATCGGTGTTACAAATTATTATAATTATAAAGGAAAACCAAAGAAACTGGGACAGACATGTCAGTGATGCTGCCTTCGCAATCCGCAGCGTGGTATACTCGTCAATCAATACCTCGCCGTATTATGCCACTTTCGGTATGCCTATGATACAGCATGCTGCATCATACGAGCTATACCGAAAGCTGGGCGCCTTGAGAGACGGGGATTGCGAGGTGGAGGCAGCAAGCGATCGATTAGAACTTCTACGAAATAAGATTTTGAAAGAGCTGAAGTTAGCCCATGAGAGAAGCGAGAAGGTTTATAATACGAGGAGTAGGGATGTTAAGTTTCAAATTGGACAAGTGGTATATCGCCGAAACTTTAAACAAAGCTCACAAGTAGAAAATTACAACGCCAAGTTAGCGCCAAAGCAAGTTAAATGTATAGTATTAAAGGCCATTGGCAATTCCATGTATGAGCTTGGCGATAATAGTGGGAAAAAGATCGGCATATACCACGCTAAAGATATTTTTGCTAGGTAAATTTTTGTTTCATGTAGTTCTGTGTCAAGTGTTAAGTGTTTATTTTTCGGCTAGATGTTCTATGTTTCCATGTTATTTATTTAGTTATTTATTTATTTTTATATTTTTTATTTATTTTTATACTTGACTATATTTGTGTGATTATTTATTTATTTATTTATTTATTTACCTACTACTCGACTACGAATTTATAATCTCTGTGATATTTTAATTATTTATGTATTTATTTATTTTATTATTTATTAATGGTATTATTTTTAAATCTACTTAGTTTCCTATCTTGACCATACGTTGTAATTATTTATATATTTATTTATTCGATTTACTGTGATATCCTTTTTTTATGCCTATAGTTATACATATTTCCATCTGTGATATTTTGGATACATGTATTGACCTAGACCGCTCTGTGATATAGAATTAAGAATTACGTATGCATGTAGAGTTACAGTAGCCCAGTGATACTGTCTTTAGTTATAGATATATGTGTGTGCTCACCCAAAGCCCAACATGAACGACCTAGATTGGTAAGAAACGCGAAAGAAGCCCGGCTGTGAGTCGTGGGTCGAGACCACACGTTAGGCGGAAATAAAACCTTCAACCAGCCGCGTTAGAAATCTTCTTACGGATACGCTCCATGATGCAGG